TCACCACCCAAATGCAAATTTTTGCTCCAGGACTGGTCTTCAGCGGTACCGCGGTTAACAATAGAGAGTGAAGTGGTTGAGTGTGTTGACCACTTCACTTACCTGGGAAGTAGGATCAACTCCGGTGGGTTAGTTGCCGATGAGATTTCTGCACGGATACAAAAGGCTCGATTGGCTTTTGCCAATTTGCGTCACCTATGGCGCCGCCGTGATATTCGTTTGTCTATTAAGGGTCGCGTGTACTGCACAGCAGTCCGCTCTGTTCTACTGTATGGCTGTGAAACATGGCCATTGAAAGTGGAGGATACAAGAAGGCTTCAGGTGTTTGACCACCGTTGCCTTCGTAGTATAGGACGTATTCCGTGGTGTCACCATGTGAGTAATGCAGAAGTCAGGTGTAGAGTTTTAGGGAGAAGAGGTAAGTCAGTTGACGAGGTTGTGAACCTTCATCGACTGAGATGGTTGGGACACGTACTACGTATGCCTAGTCACCGATTGCCTCGTCACACAATGTTGGCTGAGGTGGGTCCAGGCTGGAAAAAGGCCCGAGGTGGCCAGACTAAAACATGGCACCAATGTATGAAGTCTCTGACTGTTGGTTTAAGCCATGTAGGACGATGCAGACTAGGTGGTTGGGGTCCACGGGACAAGAGGAACCAGTGGTTGGAGACCCTAGGTGATATGGCTCAGAACCGATGTCAGTGGCGCAGATGTATACACACATTATCCTCATCTTAACAACGCTATACCGAATCTCACCATTTTGTCACTCCTCTTTCTTTTCTTCTCGTACTTTATATTTCTTTTGACTGCATTCACTTATCTTCATCCTTCACCTCACTACCTTTTTACTTGATGTGCTGATATGAGGTGTGGCAACTCGGACCGTTACGCAGTAATGCCTGGTCCTATGTTGATAATGATGATGATGATTGAGCGCGTTTCGTTAGCTTCCAGAGCCATACCATGTTACTAGCACCATTTTACAGTAACTGCTTTTTGTCTTACCACCAACGGACTTTTATGACAGCAATGACTTCAAGGAGCAGTCGTCCCAGTCAAAACAGTTCATCTAGTCATTATGACAGACAAGGCCGACTATTACGTTAAGGTTACACCTATCGACTAGAATTGATCTAAGTCGAATTGGGTTGCTGCACTATTGCTTGAAAATGCACGATCCCTCCACTCATTTCTCTGTCGGTATCTATGCCGTACTTCCTTAAGTTCCACCGTAACCTGCTTTCAGCCCAATGCGTGGCATTAATGTACCTGAAGGAGATTTATGTGACCGCAGAGCCCACCGGACATCTGCTTGGGGCCTGTCACGCGCAGCTTTTTGTGTATGATTATTTTAAACTTTCGTAGTTATGGGGCCGGATGGTCGAAAAGAAACGACAAGTGAACCAATACCGTCTGCCCGGCAGACCGTGGGGTATAGTGGAGTGTTATTTTTGGGGCCGACCTTTTCTAACCCCCCCTCCCCCTTCCACTGAGAAGGCAGCATCAGCATGGTACTGCTGGTCATCCAAGGAAACACCTTACTGCTGTCACACACCATCCAGCTAACAGCAGTACAACTTCGCCTTCAGACCCCCATCATAATGTAGTAAGTTACACCACAACGGTGACTGCTTTTCGTCTAACCACCATCCAATAGACCTATTTGGCATAGTAGGACCTCGAGGGAACAAGTGTTCCACCAGTATAGCTCGTTGGGTCATTGTGATATGCAAGCCCGACCACCACGTCAAGGTACCAGCTATCGGTCGGGCATCAAAGGGAGTAGCTGTTTCAAGTTACCTTTAACATCTAAAGTCAGTACATTGGGAGAAAAGAAGGATGAGAAGTTTCTCACTTTCTTGAACACACTCCGAACACATCTTAGAGGACCAAACAGTATCAACAGTTCAATTATGAAAAGGTTTGTAGCTCACGATGGAGATCACGGTGTTTGATGTTCCCTGAGCTTTGACATTTTATCATAGACACTTCATCACCAGGCTTGGTGAAATCCTCAGCAACAACTTCACAGATAGTTCAGAAGACATCGAACCATTACCATTCTCATACTTAGCCACAATTTTTTTCTGTCATTTCAAAATCTTTTGAGTGCAACGCACTTCTGTGTGCTCGGAAGTGAGAGAAATTCGTCGGTCAGAGACCTTCCACTCGAGAATAGCTATTCTGTTCACAACAAAACACCAAAGCTTGGTGAACACTGTACCATCATCAACAGTTTAATCGTTTCCTTAACATCAGAGTGGCGTTGAATCCTGTGATTAGTAGAAGCCAGTTGGATTCAGTCGGATGTTTTGAATTAAAAAACTAAGTAATCAGCCTACAACTGGTTTCATAAGAAGATAAGGTATTTTTAACCTCATCTCACTTTTCTTTCTCTCAATAATAACCACAATTCGTTGACTTTTACGCATTTAATGCTGTTTTATGTTATGCTCATGATTGTCCCCTTTCCAAATTTTGTGACTGACTATAACTGTACTTCTGGAATTATTGTCCTGACTTCGCATATTGTCTTTTATCAATCGACTCTTAAATTCCAACCTTACAGTTCACGCTTTTTTGCCCCCCTGTATTGGATTATGGAAACTAAACTGCAAAGTAATTAAGTTTATTCTTGGCATTACCTCACTGTTAATAAACTGTAAGCAAGTGAAGAGAATATGATATATACTACAAGCCTTGTCCTCATCGCTCTGTTCATACACTTTTCTAATTCTCGCCTATCTGAACGTCATGGAAATGTGCCGCCACACAGTTCTTAAACTAGCTGGATGATAGCGAGACCGCCGTTTTCAGAACCCTCTGCGTACGTATATCTCACAGCTTTTAGCATTTTATCCTATTCAACACACTGACTTTATACAAAATGGGAACCAAATGTTGGACTATATAAAATAATATTGCGGAATTACAAGTGAATAATGACAAATAAAGAAGGAAGAAATAAAAAAGTACACAAACAAAACAACAGGTTATCAGGAAAACAGTCTTAAATATATAAAGAGGGAAGAAATCACAACTTTCGTTTTACCTTTCTTTGAATGAACTAACAAGAAAGGTTCAGCATAATCGTCACCAATTTCGATTCCGAGCCATATGTGTCATCATCTCAAGTCATTATATCCTATGGTTTCTAGAAACTGCTTACGGAGTAGAGAGAAGAAAACAGGCACTAACCTACCACAACCATCCTTCGTTCCACAACCTTACATCAGACACTAATTGTGAACAGGTGTCAATCACTATCCAGACAGAAGTTCCATGCATGCTTGGTTTGTCTAGGCTTGTCATGGAAAGTGCCTAAATGTACAACGATATTCTTTCTGATTACTGCTAGTGTTAACTTGGCCAATACCATAATCTTATTGGTTATCCTTAAAATACAACTGAGTCTGTGTTACTGTGACTATGTCAGTGTGAATACAGATATTTAATGCTATGGGACTGAGATTGATTGAACTGGCCACTAGAACTATTTAGTGGGACTGCGTGAAATATACCCACTACAATGGCAATCCTTTTTCTCCTTGCGTCATTCTGCAGTACTAGTGCAAGTGAATACTAAGTGTGTATTAATGAATACATAATTCCATTTTGAAAAACAGCACTAAATAAATCTTTGCTACTTCCAGATAGTCTTAGGACAAGCGAGCTGTTAACGGTATAGAGACAGCTAGGACGACATGCTTAACACATCAACACCTCTGAGCCCGATGGAGCAAGTTGACTTCCCTTAATGAATGACGACCTTCATGTCACCTGACCCGAGAATTATTCACATGCTGGCTCGATCAGACCTCAACCATCATACGGAGGTAGTGGTGATTGAAAACAGACGTTGGATATCCCCACCTACGTTTCGGAAACCTTATCTTCATTTCTTTGGTCCCCTTTGGGCGTTTTTTACAACAGCTGATGTACATATTTTATTTCCTGTAATCTGTATTCCCGACATTATCTTAGTATGTTGATGACAACTGTAGTAATATGAACTGATACGCTATTACGGCGGGTCACATTTTGCTCATCTGTGTCCCCCATACTTTTACTCTTACCTTTGTTCACTTGATATTACGAACAGAGATGCAGCCGTAAATTCATTCATCAGAATCTAATCACTATTACTGCCCTTTTTATATTACCTTCGATTAGATATCTCTTATATCCAGTGATTATATTGCAGGTATGTTACCCTGGTCACACATTTCGCATATTAATGATAGCTTGTCCTGTTATAAGAATAGTAATATGAAATTTATCATTAGATGAGAAGTGGTATTTTGATATTTACTTAACTGCTTGAAAAAATACAATATATTTTTCATGAGGTCTATTTCAGCACATCCTATGGTATGTTATCTCATTCCAGTACAAAAAAGATTTTAAAAAAGTGAAACACGCTAAAGCGAATCATAGCAACAAACCATGGAGTCTCTAACTAACTGCCTCATAAATGTGCAGAAGCACAGACCATTGGAGAACCAAAGTGAGAAAGGCCATAAAATGAGGAAGCAGAAGAGTATTTATGAGTTTCATTTCTATTTGTGAATCTTTTTCTGCTAATTATTTGAACACAATCTTCACTTTATAGTCCCATCATCAGTAGTTTTCAATAGCAGGTTTATACATACAGAAACCAAAGTCACTTTGCAACACTGAGTTGATCTACTTGACGATACAATATGCTCAGATCATGTACAATTTCAAACACGGCCAACAAATGTAAACTGAGAATTAGAACAGTCGGCTTTGCAAGATGATAGCAATCAGTGCTTTCTATCATTCTATACGTTTAAAGAATTTGTAGGTTACTGGGATTCGGTTGTCATGGCTTACACCCAAGTACACTGAAATTTGTCTCCCAAGTTTAGTCTTGGTAACTAGAAACACGTATAACTGCTTAGTCTAAACTGTGATAAAGACTGCATCATGCTATACGCCTACACCACATATTCTGCGGGGAAAAAACAACTCACATTGAATTCTTTAGCTGCAAGTTCAACGCGTTCACTATGAAAATCAAAAGTGTGAACACGGCCATGAGGTAAAACAGCTTGAGCTAAGAAATGAGTTAATGATCCACTTCCTGTACCAGATTCAAACACCCACTTCCCGGGACTCAAATCTAATCCACCAACAATTAAACTTGCATCACACGGATAAATTATTTGCGTTCTATGAGGTAGAGTTTCTGACCACAGCACAGGACTTAGCGGCAGTGTGTGTACATATCCACGCGACGTTTGGATCTGAAAGCGCAAGAACAAATTCTCAATGGTAGTTAGACGATAGCGGTAGAACAGTAATAACACTTGCTTCGGAAACAGGAAACGACTCAGCAAAACATTTTATCATTCAGAAAGTGAAAATAGAGGGGGTGAGAGAAGAACCATTCACTACTTGGTTTTGAACATAGGTAGATGATATATTCATTCGGCTCAAATCTGAATATTTCGGAAAAGATAACTTAAAAGTAATACTGCGATGACAGTTACGGAACAGCAGTAGTACTCAACAATCTCACTTAGTCAGAAGCCTAATCGGAAGCAACAATAACGGCTTTTTAAACACTCCTTTCTAGTCCAAGTTGTCTTGTGAACCTAGGGCATTTCACCACCAAACTACGTATACTCAAGTGGAGCTATGATACATTAATGTGTAGTCAGTTTTGGAATGATGATTATAATAGATTTGAATCTCACTGTACTTGCAAAGGTTCAGATATTCCCTGGTCATTACTGTCGGAGAAAGTATGTAATATCAACCCAATAACGATAAGTCCAGTGAATTTAAGGACTTGTAATGGGAGAAAGATTCAACGCGAGGTCCCGCAAAAAATAACTAGGAATTGGAATCTCCTAGAAGCCGCTTGCATATTGATACATTAGACGATGAGCTTTACCTGTTGAATGAGTCAATGATACTATTCAGTTGCCAAACCCTCGGAATGCGTAGCGGGGTCCAAAAATGCAACTCAGTTGCTGAAAGCAAACTGGCTAGATCAATGAGTTACAGCTCCAAGAACACTACAAAAAAGTGCATCAATTCTAGTTCCCAAACTTTGCAAAGGTGCAGTAGAGAGTTAATAAAATATTCAGATTTGTGGAGGTTGTGCGACTGATGCCATTGAAACTCTCCAATCACAGACTCAGAACACCTCCAGAACCCGAGTCACGTAGCCTACACCCTACGCAGCTCATGCAGCCAGTCAGGATATTTGGCCACACGTACTTGAAGTGTTCTAGCATGAAGGAACAGTCAAAGACCAGTAATGCTCTAGAAATCTGCTAAATACCATGACTATTTCTACTCAAACACATAAATATAAAAACTCACTCAAAAGTACATCGCTTCAAATCTATCCAAGTTCCCAAAGAACAAAGGAAGAAATTAATACTTTGTAAATTACTACCAAGACAATAATTTTCCAGTCTTATCGTACGATAAGAATAAACTGTACACCTATCAGTAAGAATCCAGTGAGTCACTATAAACGATACAGCTAACGCACTTACCTTTGATCCGAACCTTTTTCCGATACAGTCATCATGTTTCATGGCGCCAAAACGCGTCTGGGAAACACCACCTTTTCTAAGTACTACAGTTAAACTCTTGAATTTCCCCACATCAATTATGACACAGTCTCCATCTTCTGCCATGTCTCTCCGAAATGCATCACGAGACATTCTGGATACAGGTCAAGTTCGCGATGGTATCCGAAAAATGAACTATTCAACTAAAAAAGAATATATACTGATTTGACCAAATCACATCTAGAGATGAGATAAGGATGAAAGAAAGAGGTAAGTCAATGCATCCTGATAAAACATTCAATAACATAAAACTCTTTCAGAGTATGCAGAAAAAATGTACTAGTCTTACGAATGCACAACATACGCACTTCACGAATTCTCAAGTACAAGGTTGATTTGCTTATTTCCATATTAACCACGTAAAGAAAACTCAGAACCTGTTCAAAATACGAGCATTTGGTGCCATTGCAGTTTTTAAAACTGGAACTGAAAAGTGTGTTGGTTGGCCAGTAAGGCTACGATGGCTAATGCAGTAGCTTATACTAAACCTTAACTTTTTTGAATAACAGTCTTAGAATATGAACTTTTGATAACAAGCTGTTGGACATATTCTCTGTAATTCAGACCCAATGCCATCATTTAATTAATTATGAATCTAAAGATGACCATCTTATTCACTTTAGGCAAATAACTACAGTTAACCCTTCCAAAGATAGTGGTCAGTACCAAGAACATATATATGCGTTGCGTTAATGTTACATAACTGATAATATTAGGAAGATGCAGAACTTCTGTAAAGCTATCATAATGAATGCAGCGATATCCATTTGACTTCTGAGGATAAAAAACATTTCGGAAAAAATAGTTTATAATACCCAATCGCTTGAAAAGTATATGCTATGAAGAATCAATAGCAAATAGATTTCAAGCGATTGGGTATTATTTGCCATGAAGAATCAATAACCTCACCTGGTTAACTAGTTCACCGGTTACTAGTCGGTCCTAAGCCCAGGTAAAGAGGAAAGGTTGGGCATAGGGCTAGCAACCCCACCCCACAAAACAAATCTAACCGCTAAAGAAACTTCAAAGCACAAACAAAATATAAAAAATGAAAACAATGTTGTTCATCGCCGAAATCGGACATACGAAATGACGCCGGTTGGTGAAAGCCCTCGGGAAGCCAATTGGCTGATGCATCTTCTCTTCTCTCGATGAAAGCGAAAGTAAACGTGGGGACATGGAATGTCCACACCATGTTTGAACCCAGCAAGGCAGCCCAGACTGCAAACGAGATGAGGAGGTATCACATTGAAGTGCTTGGAATTTGCAAAAGCAGATGGAATGGGAGTGGACTCTCCAAACTGTCAACTGGAGAATCAATAATCTACTCCGATATTGTCACCCAGACGACAACCACGAGCACACTGAGTTTTGGAGTGGCTATCATGACGTCCCCAACAGCATCGAAGTCTCTCATGCAGTGGGAACCAATCTCCTCCACGATCAGGATCATAACAGCAAGGTTCAACTCAAAAGGAAGGAAAGTCACAATCATACAATGCTACGCACCTACAAATAAAGCAGATTAATAGAAGAAGGAGTAATTCTACAGACAACTGCAATCAACACTGGACAAGACCCAAACCCAGTTGGCGACATCAAAATTCTAATGGGTGGGGTGACATGAATGCCAAACTGGAAGCGGACAACACGGGAAGAGAACTAACCATGGGTCGAGAAGCGCTCGGCGAGGTGATGAACGAGAATGGAGAATTGTTTGCAGAATTCTGTGCATTCAACGATTTGGTGATTGGAGTTGGGTAGTGTGTTCAAGCACAAGGATATCCACAAAGCGACATGGATTTCACCAGACACCAGGACACACTAAAAGTCAGATCGACTTCATCTCAATCTGGAGAAAGTGTAGACGCAGCCCACTTGACACAAGGTCAAGAAGAGGAGCAGATATAAGTTCGGACCACTATCTAGTGCAAGGAACCTTCCAAATCAAGCTGAAAGCCTTCAAGGAAGTTGGTGATGGACCACAGTTCAAGTTCAACACCTGTCGATTGGAAGAAGGGCGATCTATGTCTTTGCAAGAACTCGTGCGGAATCACGCTCCACCTATGTCCACCCCAAGCAAAAAAAACTAAGCCACATCATCCTGGAGAGACTAAACAATGCACTGGATTCAAAACTACGACCGGGATAGGATGGATTCAGGAAGTACAAATCATGTGCGGACCAAATTGCAACGCTTCACATCATCATAGAACGGAGTATAGAATGGCAGTCAACTCAACTCTACCTCAACTTCATCGAGTTTGAAAAGGCCTTTGACAGCGTCGACCGACAAGTAATTTGGCAGTTGCCTCAACACTACGGAATACCACAAACCTCTATCAATCTCACTCAACAACTATATGAAGACGCCACATGCCAGCCAGGTAATTCACAATGGGAAGCTCAGTGATACCTTTGAAGTGAAGACAGGAGTAAAACAAGGCTGTCTTCTATCACCCATGATATTCCTGATTGTAGTGGACTGGATCATGCAACAAACAGTGAGGAGCGAGAAGAGGGGGATACGCTGGCTGGCCGATGAAAAGAGCCTAGAAGAGGATTTCGATTTCGCCGACGACTTGTGTCTAATGTCACACAAACTTGAAGATCTACAGGCGAAAACTAACAAGTTGGCAGAAGAGGCGAGGCAGGGCAGCGAAGACGGGACTTCAAGTGAACGTAGCAAAGACAGAGATGATGATACCCAACCAACAACAACAACAACAAGAAGCTTCAATCACCATGAACGGGAGAAACCTAAAGGAAGTAGTCTCTTTCACCCATCTAGGCAGCATCGTTTCAACTACAGGCGGCACGGACGAGGACATCAAAGTCAGGATCGGAAAAGCAAGACAGGCGTTCATCAACCTGAAACCAGTGTGGAGATCCTCTGCGCTCAGCATGTGGAACAAGATCCGGATTCTCAACACCAGCGTCAAGTCAGTGCTTCCGTATAACTCAGAGACTTGGCGCGTTACGAAACGGATTTCCAACAAACTACAGACATTCATCAACAACTGCCCGCGCCGGCTCGTTACTGAAGCTCAGATGGCCAGAAAGAATAAGCAACAAGGAACTATGGGAACGAACCAACCAACAACCCATAGCCAAACAAATATGCAGAAGGAAGTGGAGATGGATTGGGCACACACTGAGAAGGCCGACTGTGGACATCACGCACCAGGCCCTCGAGTGGAACCCAGATGGGAAGCGACGAGTTGGGCGTCCGAGGCGAGGGTGACATGGAGATCGTGCGAGGAAGAATCGAGAGCTTGTGGGCTGTCGTGGAGCCAGGTTCAAGAAATTTCGGAGAACAGAGAGCACTGGAGACGTGCTACTGAAGCCCTATGTTCCATTAGGAACCCAAGGGACAAAGTAATAATAATAATAATGAAGAATCAATACCAAGCCATGACCCAGACAGGTAAAGATGGACAATAATTTGTGCTCAAAGAGTTAGTACATTTTAAAAATTGTAGGTAAAAAAACAGGACATACTGAAAAGTCAATAATTTGATGCAGTTTGCAACGAAGAAAATGAACAGAGAGGTAACACAATGGATAGTAAGGAGATAAAATGAAAGAGAACAATAACTGGAGATTCATCACATGATCCGAATTTAGAATATGAGTAGGAGCCAACAAGTAGTTTTGGCAATAGATTTCCAGTCACATAACAGTTTCCAGCATTTCGTTCTAATGTTTTGAGGACTCTAGTTAGCCCATACATCCTGCATTACAGGAGAATCAGGGCATTTATCTACTGAAACCCAGCCTTTATTTATCACTGTTGATATTCTTGTGTACCGGTGTCCATACCAACTCACTAGTAGGCTGACAAAACTAAGCGAGTCCTTTTTGTCTGTGCCTGGATTTCGTTAGTTACTGACTCAATAGGGTGATCCAACTTCCCAAGTAAGTTCATTGGGAAACACGCTCAGTCACTTCACTCGCTATTGTAGGATGGAGCGCCAATACGGATCAATCTTAGAGTAAAAATTCGCATTTGGGTAGTGAGAAACACAATCCAAACTTCTCAAATTCCCACTCAGTGTCTAGATGCTGCATCTTATCAGCATTTTCCCTTGAAATGACGATGTCATCCGCGTACTCTAGGTTTACTGAAGTTAACTATTGCGGGTTCGTGCAGTAGGCAATGAGCCACACTCATTGTGAGGGCTAGTGATACTACCTGGCTACCCAAACCTCGGTAGTTGGAGCGGTGTTTGAACTCGTGACGCACTAGTTGGAGGTCAACCGCCTACATCAGTGAACCACAGCCCTACAGACCTGTATAAACATGTCTGTGACAAAATCAAATAAGAATGCAGCCAGCAGACATTGTTGATAGATACCAATTGACATAGACAACTTACCTGATACCTCACCATTGGCTTTAACACATCCACTGATGTTTGAATACAGAAACTTTACCAGGGCGATGGTGAGAACACTACCATAAAACCTCCTCGTGTTCCAAGACTTGGTAGAGGAGAATATCTGGTCGACAATTTCACAACCAGGTTTGAAACCTGCCTGATTCTCTCAGGTTTGCTGCTTCTGTGTTCCACTCAGACGTGCAACTACTATGGGGCGAATAATTTTAGACATGACATCCGTCAGATTGAGTGGCCTGTAACTATCACAGGAAAGTTCCTCTTTTACTGAGATTTGGGACAATCGGTGATTAGAGACAGTCAGAGGGGATCATAAATGATTCTCGTAAGCTAGAAAAAACCATTCAGTTAGTCTGATAATTCGCAATCACCGTGTTTAAATACCTTCGAAATTAGCTCCAACGATCGACATTACCACAAGAAAACAGGAAAAAATAGATGGAGATAAGACTGAACCCTCGAAAAATCCCAGGTACGAACAATATATATTTGGCAATTGTTTGTCATAGCAAATTATAGCTCTAGTCTCTTGAAGAAAAACAATGAACAGAAAGCCAATTCTGTGGAATCCCAGTCAACATTTTCGTGGGGAAACTCGGAGCCATTTTTTAAAAGCGGGGCAAATTGAGGGGAAACGCAGGCAATAAAAAGTGTGGGGCAAAACACGAGGACCACAGTGCGTTTCGCTGGGCA